CCCCAGGAGCCCTCCACCCCTTTAAGAGAACAAGCGCGATCGCCCCCGCTGAGCCTGCTCCGTGGGTGTCCGGCCCCCAGGAACCCCAGCGACAGGCCTGACCCTCCCGGTGCACAACACGGCCAGGGGCACCACGCTCGGCCACCCAATCCGCAGCACCCAGCCCGGTGTGCACTGCCCCGTGATGCCCCCACAGCGAGCAGAGCGGAGCCCCCAGGGAGAGACAAAAGACCGGGAGAAGCCGGGACCGCGTACTCACTGTCGCGCGTGGAGGGGAGAGCGAAGGGGCTCCAGCACCTCAGGCGACTCAGTTCCCACCTCCCCCGCCCCAGAGAGGCGGGCAGAGGCCTCACTCAGCATCCCCGCAGGGAGCGGGGCACCCCTGCCTCACAGCTGACCGTGCCCGACAGTGAGCAGCCCCTCTCTGCGCCCTGCGGGGAGGGGACCGAGCATGGCGCTGCTCCCCCACGCTGTTGCTGTTGCCGCACGCCGGCCCCCAGCCAACCCCGCAGCACCTGCCCCTGGGGGAAGGGACGCCCCGAGTCCAGCCGGCCCGCCGAGGAGCAGAGCCGCTGCGGCACCGTCAGCGGCCGGACCAGCTCCGATCCGATCCCCCGAAGGAAAACAAGTGAGACGCAGCAGGAGAGTGGCGGGAGGCTGGGTGGTCCAGACACGCGCCTTGGGCAGTCTGCTGCCTGGCGAGTGGCCACTTCTGCCTGCTGCTGGGCAGGAGTGAGACGGGGAGGAGCAGGGCAGCACTGCCAAGCCCTGCGCTGCCTGCCTGGGGGCCTGGAGTAGGGCCCCTGCATCCTCCTCCCTGGGGCCGATGCTCCTGGGGCCCTGATGTGGCTTCTCAGAGCCCGGGGGGCCCTGGCAAGCAGCTGCCACTGCCCTGTCCTCCTCGTCCAGCGCACCCGCCAGGGCTTCCAACACGCCCACCTGCAGGGGCACTGGCCATCGGGGCCTGGAGGCCTGTGTCAGCCGGCCGGCCCGTCTTGTCGTGCCTGCCACCTGGGCAGCCCCAGGAAAGGGCCCCTCCTCAGCCCCAGGGCCCAGAACACTGTCCCCTCACTGCGACCAAGACTGGCCTACCCCTCACACACCACTGCCGGGACCCTCGCGAGCCCCACGCTGTCTGCGGGACCTCAGGGCTCCAACCCCCCGGGCACCCGGCCGCGCAAACACGGCAGGGCTCCAGATGAGTGGGCAGCCAGACCTCAGCCACCCAGCCCTGCCCAGCCCCGCACGCGCACACGCACACGCACACACGCGCACAAGGAGACCAGACACCCCCAGCCCTACACACACGCACAGACCAGATCTCCCGCAGCAACACCCACGCCTGCCCACGCCCCAGGCACAGCCACAGCCTCTGCGTGGCCCCCGCACGCCAGCTCTGACAAACCCTCCTGTGCCCGTTCACCTCTCATTCTGAGGGTCAAAATTCACTCACGGCAGCCGATGGCTGATTACACCTCGACCTTAATGAGAGAAGGCCGCGGAATGGCATTTTAAACCACAACGCCATTTCTAATTGACGTGGCTCTGTCACCAGGAAAAACACTCCAGCCTGACACAGGAGCCGCGCCCGCCCCTGCCCTCCCCGAGCCGTGGACGGTTCAGCTTCAATTTTTAATCCGTTGATGAAATATTCACGGGCTGGGGAGGGGCTCACATTTCCCGAGGTGTTGGACCCCTGCCCTCTCCAGGGGCTCCCTGAGCCCGGAGGACACCGAGTTTGGGGTAACAAAATCAGGGCCGGCCGGCGGGACAGAGCCCACAGGGTGGGGGCCAGACACCTGCCCCCCCCACAGCCAGCACCCTGCATGTCCCCGGGGCCACAGTGCCTTCCTTCCCTGTGTCCCTGCTCTGGGTGCGTCACAAACCCTGCTGCTGGTCAGGGGCCTCTGGCGGGTAAGTCCTGCCAGAAAGACACTGTGGCCCAACGTCACCAGCCGTGACCCCTGGCCCCAGTCCTGCCGTGGCAGGACCTCCACGGCCGGCTCAACCCTCCAGAAGGACCAGCCCTGTCCCCAGCACTCTACTTCCTAAGCAAAACGTCCAGGTCCCTGGCCCCTAATGCTGGGACGACCCCACATGCGGGCAGGTACACCTTGAGGCTACAGAAGCCTCTCTTGAAGGCTGAGAGGGCTGCCCCGGGATCCCAGAAGGGGACACTGAGGCAGGAGAGGAGTAGCTCTGCCCACCCTCACCGAGGAGCAGGAGCACAGCCAGGTGGGAAAGGCACGTGACGCCCTGGTCCCGTCACAGAGCCACCGCACGGCCAGAGCCTATGAGGGGCGGCGCGTCAACGTCTGGCACAGGCCCGGGACCCCCAACTCCCTGGGAAGTGTCCCCGCGTGCAGCGTGCAGGGCAAGGACGGCTGGCCCACCTCCCTCCCACCTCCGCCTCTCAGCAAAGAAAAAAACCGTCCCAAAGGCACAGAAGCCATGTGTGGCCAGGAGACCCCCACCCTGAGGAGGAGGAGGAGAAGGACAGGCGGAGAGGGCCCCGGCCTCAGCCCCAGCCGGACGCCAAGAGCAGGGCTCCCCGCGCAGCAAGTGCCTTCTGTTCCCCGCCTAGATTTGCAGTGAGCCGGGGACGGAGGCCACAATCGTCCCGGTGCCATCAGGCAGGGCAGAAACCACAGGCCCCTAAGAGGGAGCCCGAGCCTCTCCGCAGGCAGCCCCCCGGGAGCCTCTAGCTGCCCACATGCGGTCCCCGTGGCTCTGCACCCTCCTTTACGCGCAAGGGAACTGAGGCACAGAGGGCCGCCCAGAGCTCCAGCTGGTAGAGCCCAGGGGCTCGAGGCCGAGGCTGGGCTTAGTGCTCTGCTCCGCAGCGCCCGTCCCGAGGGACTCCCCGAGGCCCGCCCCCACCCCCAGCCTCGCTCCCTCCCCGCCTCCGGCTGGGTGAGCCGGACCCAGCACGGCTGCCCTGTAGCCCCGACAGCTCGTCTGATCAAAGCACGGGGGGCAGGACGCCTCCCGGGTCCCGGGGCCAAGAAGCCGGCCCAGCCCTCTGCTGGGCCTGCTCTTCCTGACCCCAGGCCTGCATGTGCTCTGGGTGGGGGCTGAGCTGGGGTCCGGGGTCTGGGGCATGGCGAAGGACGCGCGGGAGGACAGGCCGGGCCGGGAGGAGAGGGAAGCGCTGAAGGCAGAACGCGATGCTGTCCACGAAGCTCCGTCGCAAGCACCCCGCCCGCCCGCCCCCTGCACAGCACCCCCCGGGAGCGGCCTTTCCCCACTCCGGGGACTCATGGGCACGCAGCTGTCACTCCCAGCCCAGACCCTCTGGTCACCACCGCCAGGGGCAGGGACTTTGCCCCCCAAGGGCACAACTCAATCAGTCCCAATAAATCTTGGAGAGGTCGAACCTCACCAACACCACTTGGCCCCGGAGGCCGCCCGCCAGCTGGGGCCCAGCTACACACAGCCCACCCAAGCAGCAAGCTGTCCTTCACTCACTCCCAGAGCCCCCCAGAGGCCCTGTCCACGCCCTACTGGTCATCGAGGGATGGCCTCCCCACACACACACCAAACCTGGCCGTGCCCTGCACCCTGGTCAAGGTGCCCCAGGCCCAGAACTGGCCAAAGCAGGACCACCCACTGCGCACCGACCGCACCGACTGTGACCAAGCATAAAGCCCAGGGCAGCGGGGAGAGAAAGGCCCCACAACCCAGCGTCAAGCGTGGTGGCTCCAGGCCCAGCCAGAGCAGGGAGCTGGGGTCTGCAGCTCTGGCCAGATCTTACCCCACTTCCACCCCCCCCCCCCCCCCCCCCCGCTGCCAACCGTGAGCCCAGGGGCAGACCAGGTCCCTGTCGGGGCAGCGGGGCACAGCCCAGCACCCCCCCCCCCCCCCCCCACGCATGCGGGCCCCCCCTCAAGGGTCCCCAACGTGCCCCCACCCCCGGAGCCTCTCTCGGTGACAAGACACCATCACTGTCACTCATGCTCAGCGAAGCTGGTGTCGGGGACAGTTCCACTCTCACTGGGGACTACAAACCCCACAGGGACCAGCCCCGCTGCATGTCCGGCATCCGGGAGGCGTTCTAGCGACAGCGGAGGAACAGGCACGATGGAACCCCAGGACCCTGGGAGTGGTGCGGGTCTCACGTACGGGAGTGTCCTCTCTCAGGAAAGGAGGTGAGGAGAAATCCCCACGGTCTCTGAACTCTGCAGAGCTGGAGCCACAGTGTGTGGTTCCCCTAGCCATGACCCTCGGCCACCTGCAGCAGCGCGCTCCTCTGACTGCCCTAAGCCCCGAGAGCAGCCCGGCCACCCGCGCCCTCCCACGGACACAGTGCTCACCACACCAGCAAAAGCCACAGTGATCCCCGCTGCCACCTGTCCTCACCCTCCAGCCCCCGTCAGCTGACAAAACGCAGCCCCAAGAACATTCTGAGCTCTGACCACAGACCCCGGAGTCCCATGTTTCTCCCTCAAGCCTGGACATCAGTCCAGTCTCCACGCAACCCTGTGCCATCTCGCCATCTAACTGCCCGGCCAGAGCCCTGGACTCCGCCCCTGCCACACCCCACAAATGGCACCCTCCCCCAGGGCCCAAACCTCTCGAGCAGCCCAAGCCCCCAGAACCCCAGCCTGGCCGGTCGCTGTGGCTCTAACTGCGGCCAGGTCCACCAGTGCGCCCTACCTCCTCGGGGCCTCTGGACCACTCTCGCCGGGGACCAGTGTCTCCCAACCTCCACCAGTCCTTGCTCCCTGCTGAGCCCTACAAGGGCTTCCCATAGCTGTCAGGGCAGGCCCAGCAACCCCACCCCCACTGTGCCCCACCTGGCTTTTCCTCCCACCAGCCCTACCTCCTGCCCCCACCTCGGGGCCGGCCCCAGCACCTGCCCCGTACCAACCCTCGCAGCCCAGGCTCACTCCCGAGTCGGGGCCTCGGCACCCCCCAAGCCCGGAGCGCCCTTCCTCCACGGCTCTACCACCTACATCTTCCCCGCTCACGAGCTCACCTCAAACGTCGCCCCCACATACCCGAGACTTGCCCATGGTCAGCACAGGCCCCAGGCGATCCTAGCTGAGCCCCCGAGCTCCTCTGCAGACAGGGGTGCAGGGGTCAGAGCGGAGCCTCATCCCGGGCCTCCCCCCTCAGCAGAGGCCCTGACACTCCCGCGGCAGCGGCCCCTGGCATTCCGGCTCCCCGTGCATCCAGGCAGCGTCTGCCCTGCGCTGTCCGGCCTTCTGGGCTGATGGAGACACCGGGCTCAGGGGCGTGGAGACAAAGGCAGGCTGACCACCAGGAACCTGCAGTTTATCTCGGTCAACACCACGGTGAGCTGGGCCGTCCTCCACCCCGAGATTTACATTTTTATTAAATCACAACGGAAAATTAGAAACATTGTTACTTCCCTCAATCTGTAACCCTTTGTCTGCCAGGCTCTGCACCCAGCTGCCCATGCCATCTACCCCAGGGTGATTTCAGGGCCCTTCCCCACGGCCTGGATCCGCCTCCACAGTCAGGGGCCCCTCTCTACAAGGCCCAGGGTCCACCCCCACAGTCAGGGGCCCCTCCCTACAAGGCCCAGGGGCCTCCCCCATTGCTGGGGCCCTCCCCTAAAGCCCGGGTCTAGCCCAATACTTCTCAAACCTTCCCCAGTAGCCTCAAGGCAGACAGCACCTGCCCTCAGATCTCAGTTTCCCATTTCTATAAGATGAGAAGAGTCAGGAAGTGGCAGAGTCTTGGCCAGGCCCCCCACTGTTGCCCTTCCACCCAGACACTGCCCCAAGCACCCGGGGCCCCCAAGAGCTCTCGCTACGCAGAGCCCAGCAGTGTTGCAAGGACTGGCCCCCAAAGGCAGCACCTTCCCTTCACCCCTCCCTAAGGTACCCCACTGTCTCCACAAGGTTACCCATGGGAGGAGGCAGAGAACAGGCAGCCGCAGACCCCAAAAGTGCGGCTCAGCCATGTTCTTCCTGCACCTGCTGTGCTGAAGACGTGGGGATGCCAGCGGTCCCTGGGGCACCCAGAGTCCCAGAGCTCACACCCTAGCCAAGGGAACTGACGGGAGCCCCACAACAAACCTTCAGAGGAAAATAAGCAGGCTAGGCTGGCTGAGGGTGACCGTGGGGGAGAGGCCACAGCGGTGGGTGGGGGACACCCAAGTGAGATCAGAAGGGAGAAAACGGGGACCACGGGGCAACATAAGGAAGAGCATTCAGGAGGCAGAGCACGTGCAAAGGCCGTGAGCAGGGAGAGGGCTGGGAACATTCGAGCAGCAGGAAGCAGATCGGCACAGCTGGCCAGCCTCCCCCGCAGGGACCATCGCCAGGGCCAGAGTTGGGCCTTCATGAACCCCAAGGACCATGCCAGCATGGGAGATATCAAAAAAAGGGCGACAGGATCGGGGTCAAGTGTTTTGGAACAAGTGAGCACCGCAAGCAGGCCCTGTGTGGTCCTGGCAGGAGATCCCGCTGAGCTGTCGCCACACCCCCACGTGCCCCACCCCAAAAGCTGCTGCCAGCCCCCAACACAGTCCCTACAGGGACCATGGGGAAAAGACACCATCACATGCAGAAGACACTGGCCTCAGGCGTGGGAAAGAGCCCCCCAGGGGTGGGGGTGGGGGGCATCCAGCAGGGCTTCCTGTAGGAGGGGGCATCTGGGCACAGCACGCAGAGCGGGAGCAGCAGCACTGCCATCGTCCCGCCGTGCGGTGCCCACTCGTGCTTATCTGTGCCAGGCGCTGACCCAGATTTAGTCATGAATGAAGGGGGTGAGTCGAGACTAGTCACTCTTCACTCTCCCTGGCCCTGCGCTTCGCACCGACGGGGAGTGGGGGGCGACAGGAAAACCGGCACCACAATTAATTTCAGCTTTAATTGTTCTCTCCCTCCCTGCGCTTCCCCCATCCCCCAGGGAAGAACCTTTTTTAGCTCGTGTTTCACAAATATCTTTAGGGATCAAGGAGGCAGCTGGCACCAAGGGCGGGGGCGGTGGGGGGGCACTCAGCCATCAGACGCTGAACTAAGACCCGGCAGGAGGGGCCGGGCTAAGCACGCAGAAGGCGAGGTCCGAGTGACAGCTCCGTGTACCCCCCTTGCCCCAAGTGTCTGGTGGTGGACCCCGCTGGCCCAGGGCCACTAGACCCGGGCGGACGGAAGCTTCCCAGCCCCAGGCTCCAGACCCCGGCCCAGCCGCCTGCACGCCGGCCCTGGGGGGGCCCCGGAGGCCCATAAGCCCACGACACGCACTCACCACCGGCGGGCGAGGAGACACGAAGCCCCACCTCTGCATTTGGCCCAAACTTCCAGCCTCCTGCCCGCAGGAGCTGGGGCAGCCTCGGGCAGTGCAGACACAGCCCCGAGACCCTGGTGGGGGCTGGTCTCCCCACCCGACCAAGTGGAAACCGGGGCCCTGGCCCCAAACCGTACCACCCCCCACCCCGACCAGGCGCTCGCGGACAGCCCGTGGGGGGCGTCCTCGGTCGTCTCCCGCACAGACGCTCTGCACGGGGGGCCGCAGCCTCGGCGGTGGGAGGCGCCCTGTCCAAGGAGCTCGAGCAAAGGCCCTGTGAGTGCCGGCCCCCACTCCGCGCCAGGCAGCCCCCCAGGAAGCCCCCAGAAGGCTGGCCCGGGCCGGAGGGCTTCGGCGCTCCCTTCCACAACCACATCACGGAGGGAGGCCCCAAGCCCCAGCCTGCGACTCTGCCGGGCGCCGGGACACCAGGCGCTGCCACTGAGGGGTGGCGGGACCCAACCCAGGAGAGCCCCTGGAGGAGGCTGCGTCCACGGAGCGGGGACAGAGCAGGAAGCTGGCGGGTGAAGAGGCGTGTGGGTGGGAACCAGAGGCAGAAGCCAGCCTGGCTCCTGAGGACTGAGAGGCGCCCCGTGTGGCGGCAGGAGGGACCGAGGACCTCATCTTGCCGGCCCTGGGGAGCCACAGAAAGTGGTGCACTGGAGAGCGAGGTCTGGGGTAGGGGTGGGGAGACACCCCTGGACACACCCCCAGGCTGAGCCCAGAGTCCTGGATCCAGCCCCACCCCCAGTGTCTTACTGGGAACCCAGAGGCAGGAATCAAGGGCTCCACTTCCTACCTTGGAGAGAAATCTGGGCCCTGTGGCAGATGCCCAGGGTTGGGGTTTCTGTGGAGAAACCTCCGGTTTCCCCCACCCTGCGGCTGCTGAGTCAGGAGCACAGGGGTGGGACCCAAATCACAGACCCTTCCAGCAGCATGGGCAGGAGGCCAAGTCCGCTGGCCCCAAGCCCTGCCAAGCGCCTACTGCATACCAGCCAGCTCCCAGCTGAGCAAGCCAGCTCCTGGCCCCTTGCCACAGCAGCAGCCCCTCCCAGGACCAGAAGCCACACCATCCTCACTCCTCAGGGCTGGAAGGGACCCACTTGGAGCTGGGGGAACCAGGGCCCAGGGTGCATGAGGGTGGCCTTGTCCGTGTTTGGCCCAGTCCCCTCCGGGGTATGGAGCAGATGGGGGTGGCAGGGACCTAAGAGGACAGGGACACCCCGCTCAGGCCTGGGGACCAGTTTCAAGGGGATGGAGGCCCCGGGGAATCAGGCTCAGGGACAGGAGAGCAGGGGAGGTGGGCACGCCAGGCAGAGGACACCGTCTGCACAAAGGTCCAAGGTGGGCGCGCAGGGCACGGCCCCACCAGGAACTGCCGCATCTGGGGCGAGAGCTGCCTGGGCAAGCCCACCCCACCCCGATGGGGCCGGAGGGCTGGCACAGGGCCGGAAGGCATTGCAGGCAGGAGGGCAGAGGGCAAGGGGGGGACGTCATATCTGCTGACCAAGCCCCCGCCCCCACCGCCCTCAGGGAGAAGCGCTCTTTCCCACAGTTACGAAAGATCCTCTTTGCTTGAAGGAAGAAAGGGAACCCAGAATCACTCTACTCCAGGCCTCGGTGTTCGCACTCACTGAAGGTGGGGGCTGGTCCCCTGAGATCCAGGGGTCCCTCCCCGACAGAGGACACCCGGACACCCATCCCTACCCGGGACCCAGGGAGAGGCCCTCGAGGACTGGACAGGGAACGCAACCCCCCAGTCCATGCCAAGGCCACACCGGGCGACAGGTCCCACTCCTGACCCTGGGGATTCCTGGTTCCCAGGATGGTTCTGGAGCCGGGTGCCCCAAAACCACCCCTCTGAGGGGAGCGGAACTTTCACATCCTCCCCACACTGCCCAGCCCAACACCGAGTGCTCCCCACCTTCCAGGCATCGCTGGGCGCTGACGGGCAATCTTTCCCATGTCCCAGCACCAGAGCAAGAAACTCCTCACCCCACCGGGCAGATGAGGACCCTGAGGCTCAGAGGGGCCCCCAGCCACCACTCCTCCCTGCTCCCAAGCAAGAACTAATGGTCTGGCCCGACTTAGTTTCACTCTCACACCCACCCCAGAGGCAAGGGCCATCGCCCCACTTCACAGACAACAAAGTCCGGGCTCCGAGAGCGAGCCACTGGCCCAAGCCACACAGCTGTGCAGGCCTGAGCACAAGTCCAGCCGCCCCCGCACCCCAGAGCCACCCAACGCACGCAGGGCTGCCTGGGCTACGAAGAGGAGCCCCTCTGCCCGGGATAACAAGGCAGCCCCACCAGCCAGATGCTCCCTGCCCACACATGCCACCTCCCAAGGGCAGGGCTGGGAGAAACCCCGTAAGCTGTGGGCCTCTCCAGGGAGGAGCCCCCCCCCCCCACCTCAGCTGCAGGATTTGGTGTCCTGGCCTGTGATCAAGGGATTACCAACAATCCCAGCACCCACTCGTGCACACACAAGCACACACGTACCACCCGCATCACTCAAACCACGGGATCTGGGCAGAGGACCACAGCTGCCCGCTGTGCCCGCAGGAGGCAGCCAGAGCAGGAAGGGCCAGGAGGGAGCCCGGGAGGGTTCGTCCCCCACTGCCGCCCACTATCTCCTCGGGCCAGAAGGCCCCATCCTCTCCAGGCAGGCCTGAGTGCTGCTGGGGCTGCCCATGTCAGCCCGGGAGACCACACCTGGTGTCCTGCAGGCAACGGGGGCCCACAGGCTGGACCTGGGAAGCCCACCCAGCACTTCCAGGATGGCAGA